TTTCGGACAGAACCAGTTTCAACAAGACGACAATGAATATTAGAAAAGGTTCGACTATCTGGCAAAGCACGATCGGGATATCTCTGGTGATAAATCCGTCTGGCTTGCTCACCATTACCATCGGCAAGGCCATATACGTAATGAATTTCCGCCATTTCTGCATTTTAATAATTCACCATTACACCTATTAACAAAATTGTAAAAAGTAAATAATGAAAAAGATGTCACAGCGAACAGATTTGAATAACAGAGACTTGTCAGATGTCAAAAGCATATTCCAGAGCAACTAGATATTTATTGCTAAATTGCGTTCTTCAATTATTACATAAATTTTCTCGGACAATAGAACGGTTTTTATTTTTTACTATAAAATGGCGCATCGAAGAAAAACATTTCAAGAGAGAACATTTGTTTTAAATTGAACGGGGCATTCAAAAATGATTTTTATTTGGCAAAAAACCATTGGCGTACCATTTTTTTTCTTAAAAAATGTCGAAGTCAATACCCGTACGCACGCCACTGTTAAAGCTACAAATTATTTTCGCATTGAAAAATATGCAACTTTATTAACTTTCACTACGTACGAAATATCAGTGAAATATCTGAAGCGGTTCTGAAAATATTAATTAATTTCCATTTTTTTTTTCCTAAAACGTCAACACCCCGAGTTTTTGTGAGGAAACATTTTTCGACCATAGTTTATGAAGCAACCTAACATTAATTTTTCATGTAGATTCACACCCTTAAATATTCGCATATCATTAAGGAACGCCCTGTATATTATAATAGTGGGCGCAGCTGTATTTTTCATAATCAAATATTGACTGCGTCCTCTTTTATTGTATATAAAATTGAAAAAGCGGATCGGGACATGGCTTACTATTTGCACTGTGGTCCAAACCGACCAATTTTTCATTAGCAAAATAAAAGCTGTCAACGCTTTTCAAATTTGTATGTCGGTTTTATGGTGATTTATAATGTTGTCTTTATCAGCAGTGTACAATGTAATATTTTATTCGAGGAAAATAAACAATGCATGTACCACGAAATTTATAATTGTTTGCTCAAAAATGTAAAGAGAAGTAAAATAGTGTGATGCTTGTTTCCATTGCAATACATTTTTCATTTAATAACAAACAAAAAAAGCCAACGCAATGGATTATTATTAATAACCAGTCAGAAGCGCACTATAAAACTTTTGAAGTAAATTGGGGGCTTATGAGACAATATTAATTTCACAGTGTATTTAACCATTTAGGAGAGTGTACTTTGAAATATGCTATTTAAGTTTGTGTTGTTAAAGGTTAAAAATTATGGAAAAAGACGCTCACGTTTCAAAATCTGGTAATAATTGTTCACTTTTTGCTTGTTTGGGTCCCTGTAGTTTCCCGAAAAAGGTGTCTTTGGCCAGTACAGTATGGAAATGAATTAGCTAGACAGTCAAACAGTGGCGACGCGTGACTTTTCCTAAACTGTTGCCAAAATCAGATGTGAAAAATCTTATTAAAAAAAGTTTATTTTGAACCTCCCAAATATAAGTTTTTGCTTATTTTAGGTATTTTATTTAAACTATTTTTAAATTAAGGTAAACATTCTTGGACTGAGCGTCTGGGGCACTTGATAAACCTCATCGTCTTATGCTATGACTAATCCAAGCCGTCCGAAAAAAGAATCGACGTTTCTAGATGTTCGGAAAATTTTTGATCTTTTTTTGCAATGAATTTTAACAATTCCCTGTAATTTCCTCTATTGTCAGAGTCATCCCCTTCAAAATGAACGGTACTTATTGTTTTGCCAAAAAGCATACGGTATCTAGAAGTGTGCTGCCTAAAAGCTTGGTTAAGACAACTTTCTATTCTTGTTTTGTCAAACTGAATTAAATTGGATACACATCTCACATGTAACGGAGAAATTTCATGTCTCCTCTTTAGAGCACTAAAACTATTTAAATCGTTGACTCCGTTGCATTTTATTGTGTATAAAACAGAAGACACCACAATACAATCTGTTTTTTCACAACCACATAAACAAGTTAAATTTAAAATACCAAACTACGTTTATTTATTCCTTATTAAAATTATCTAAAATAGGCGTTGGTCTTCCATTTTCAATGATCTCCTTTTTTTCTTAAAAATTATACAAGGAGAATGACTTTTCAAGTATTGATCGACCAGCCAAAGATTGCTAGGGACGAAAGGGGGAAATGCGATGAAAAAACCTTACCATTAGACGATTTTATATGGAGTCATAGGCGGAGATCGGAGAGACTTGAATTATTAATTGAATTTATATTTTATTACAACTGGTAGTATTAATATTTTTTTGCGATTCATAATGACGTGATACCAAACATACATTATAAGAAATAAATATACACAAACACTGAATATTGAGAACAAAATAAATATATTTTTTAGGCAACAAGTAATATTCCTATGTACGCATTATGATTGAACAGCAAAACAAATTATGCATTCTTCTAAAATAGAATACAACAAGTCAAAAATATCTGACTGAATAGAAAAATATAGGAAAACAAAAAGTAATTTCTTGATGAAATAACCCATAAACAACACATAGAATTAGACTTTCTACTGAGATACTAAAAGCCACAAACCAATAGTATAATAAATGAATATCTAAAAATTCTAAAAGGTAGCCAATCTAGTATAGTTTCAATCCTGATTAGAGTCATGATCACTGTCTGAGGAACTGTCATTGCTATCACTTTCACCTCCTATGTTGATTATTATTTCTTCCTGTATTTCTTGAATGAGACTGTCTTTTTCCCAATATTCATCTTCAATTTTTATAACATGTCCAATAACCTTTTGCCAGTCACTGGCACTTACTGAAGCGATGGCCTTATTAGAAATTTCATCTAGTTTTTTTATAGTAAATTCGCCGCTTGTATTATGGCTTCTAATGAAAAATTTTACTTGTGCCCAAATCATCTCTATGGGATTAAACTGACACATATAGGGTGGCGTTCGAAGTGGGGTGTGTCCGAAACTTCTTATTAAATTATCTATCTTATAATTTTTCTCATCAGATGGTGGCCTATGTAGACAAGCTATTTCATAAAGCTCCATTTTTTTAGCATTAGGATCATGCTCTATACCTTTTTTGCTCAACCACGTGATGATGTCTCTTTTTAGAGAAGATCTAGTTGGAGGCTTGTCTTCCAAAGCTGAATGGTAAGGTGCATTATCCATTATTATAATACTATTAGGAGGAATGTTAGGAAATAGTTTTTCAGTAAGCCACTTCGTGAAATTTTCTTGGTTCATTTGACCGTGATAATCACCAGTGGCACAGCCAGCCTTGAAAATGAGACAGGCTCCAGGAACAAAACCATCTTGCGAACCCGCATGAACAATTATAAGTCGTCCTGGAAATGAATAAATAGCCTCATTTTAGTGTTATTTTAAGTTTGCCAACACCTTTTTGAATCACTATGTATAAAAAACATATTTTTGAGAAAAAAATACTTGCAAGGGATTATGTATTCAATTAGACAAATTAAATGAGCACTTATTAAGAATATTCCAAAATTGAGAAAAATGTATAATAAGCAAAATCGAGGTGAAAGAAACTTTATTACCTGTAGAACTTATATTGCTCAGGACACCCATAATTTCTTCGCTTTGCCAGCATTTCTTGAAAGTGAGGTCATTATCAACCCAAGTTTCGTCCAAATAAATAATATGCCTTCCTTCTTCCCGGAACTTTTTAATAGACCTAAGATACTTGTATCGCCAATGTAAAATACTGGGTCTTTCCATTAGTAATTTCCTTTTGTTGTGGCATTTACGCCAGTAAAATCCTTTTGCTTTTAAAAGCAGCCTCAACGATTCTTTACCAAATGGAAATTCCATTTCTTCCTTCAGTTTGATTAGAAGTTTACTACAAGTAGGTACCACTTTAAAATCACAGTAAAATTTTTCTATCATTCTCCGAATAATGGAAAAATCGACTCCATCAATTTTTTGGATCACAGAAGGGCGTGATCTCTTTTTTCCGGGAGAAGCTAAAGGCTGTGTGGAGGTTGCATTTTGCCTGTCTTTATCTTCTTTTCTAATTTTACTTATAGTTCGTTCACTAACACCCGTATAATATGCCGCCCTTGCATTTCTAGCTACCAGTGGATAAACGAAAGTATTGTTAGCCGCTTCTGCATCGCAAGCACGTATCACGTTTGCTATTATTTCCCTTGCCTGGCTGTGAATAACTTTCCCATGCTTGAATTCCATTATCACCACTAAACAGTAAATTATATTTTCAAAGTATTTGCCAACTGCCTACGCCTATGGGAGTAGGTTTATAAATGACCGTGCCATCGGCACGTTATTCTAGTTTCAGATAAGATAAGAGTTTTGGACCAATCAGCGACCGGATGTTTACCTGCGGCCTGGGTTTTCCAGCTACATTGCCAAATTCAGCGGAACAATTCTATATCTTAAATATGTTAATATGTATGGACCGCATTTTATGTAGAACATCTGACAACTTCGCAATTTTTTGTCCGCATTCTTTCGGCTTGCAATCTTTCGCTGGTCCAACTTTAGTTGATCGATTACGCAGCGACACTCATCCATGTTTAATTGCACGCATACTACAGCCGGTAACCAAAACGGCTACTAACGAGTGAGAAGTGAGTAACCAAATCAAAAAATGGTAACAACCCCCCTTAATAGTCGCAGCGCCCCAAGCACTCGGGCGACCGCGATCAGACACGAGCCGGTACCGACGGTCCCCGACCGGACTACCAAGTGTATCCATAACTCAAAATGGTAACAACCGACAACCAAGTCGAGGCGAGTCAGCTTCATCGTGTTCGCAAAACCTAGACACTATAGGGCGCATTATTTTTGTGGGGCTAATTTGCTATTTACCAATGGTAACAATGATTACATGGACGCTTCGCCACTGCAGTCAAGGTATGAGTTTCAAGGGTTACATGTTAGTAAATGGTTGTACCAAATAACACAAAAGCCTACCTGTACTCTGGATTCAGGGAGGTGGATTTTTCCGGCGACATCTTCCCTCATGAAGATATCCGGATATCGCGTCTTCGCAAACAGTGCTTCTAAAAGTTCCAACTGTGTTCTGGTGAAAGTGGTCCTCTCTCGCCGCTGTTTTCTGGGGTTTATACCTGGAAAATAGGAATAAACTGCAATTATGATATAGCCAGTTGAATTTTGGAGTTCTCTATTTGTTATCCTAACGCTATACGAGAAAGGGAAGTTAATAGGACCAAACTTAAAGTTTGACGGCTAATTTTTATATATATGTACTTTGTAAGTCATGATTACAAAATTATAGCCAAGCATTGTCAGACACTTCCCTCCAGACATAGCTTCCGCCAGATGCTTTAACGCGGGGTGTTCCAATATAAACTGACCTCTCCCTAACTTGATGACGGTTTGGAAAAAAAGTTAAGAATAAAATTCAACATTAGCGTAATATAGTGTGAGAAAATAGCAACAATCTTTTCGTGAGGATATAGTACTGCAGGTAAGTTACTAGATTTAACCGATAATGTAATGAGAGCCTGGGGTCAGCAAATGGTCACATCATTAGTTCTGCTACAATTTTCTAAGGCATAAAACACCATAAATCATCGTATCTTAGTTACAAAGTGTACATTTTTTGGTAAGGATTGTCTCCAAAATGCCTCATTTCTTCCTCTACTTGGGCCACTATTATCTAAGCGAAAAACAAATTTAACATGAATCTAAAAGCGCAACTTTATTGAGGTCAGTCAAATACGTAGGTATCATATTTAATATCTTAAATTCATACCACTTGTGAATAATATCAGCGAGAGTTGTGTTTTCATTCCACGTCAACATCAAACAATTTTTTGAGTATCAAACCAAATAAATATTGTTGGAATCTCTGATCGTATCTAAAATTACCTATTGTGATATACATAGTTTATGTTCCAAAATAAGTTCTAATATAACATCTGGCAGCTTTGGGATCTTGGACTATATAGTTCCGTACATAATACGTTCAGAGATGTATTTGTTATAGTCGGATATCATATTGGAATAGAGCAGCTTAGCGCAACGTACGTCACTGTTCGCGTGTGCGAGTATCTCACCATACAGTACTTAGATCAGTGACATACCCTCTCTCAACCCCATTTTGGTAGCCGTATACAGTGCTTCGTGCAAATTATCGAAAATAAACCGCTTTTGGATAAATAATGATTTCTTAAAAATCATCACCAACGATGGTAGCTATTTATTAAGTTTTCAGCGCTTAAACATTTTCTTGACTTTGCGACTTTTATCAAATTGCTTTTGCCCTGTATAATTAAGGTATCGATTAAAGTCAGCAGCAAATGGCTTCTACGATATACGAATTAAATTGTCACCTGTTCTAAAATACTCCTTGAGAACTCCATTTATAAGTAAAGTTCGAACCCGCATTAACTATCGGAGCTAGTTACTTCAGAAAATAAAGTTACTATAAAACTCGATATTGCTCATCGATACTATTTTGTTCCATGAAGCATCATTACATCAATAATGAAACGATAATATTCTCACGAAATGTTATTGACAAGTAATAAGACAAAAAAAAAAATAATTTGTTGGGCGACCCCGCAACTGAATACACTCCTGTATATAGTACGTCAAATTCAATATCACGCCGTTCTCCTCGGTGGAGTCTTACCCTTCTACGACCATCGTGCGTACCTGTGTAACATTTCTAATGTCACTGAGTATATCCTGTTTCAATGCTAGTACTTTCAATCTAATCAATATCAAAACTATGTTGCCTAGCTGAAATATCATCCGGTGCCTCTGGGAAAACTAGCAAATGTTACATCAATAGTTAACGTTACACTCAATTAAACATTGTTTGATGTTTAATGTGTTTTTTATGTCCCCCGTTTATTTACTTTGCTGATGCTGTTTGTCTGATTCGATGCTACGGTTTCCACCTTCGGTGTGTTAGAATGGAGAAGTGGGAGTGAGAACAGATTGCATTGGAGGGTATAGTAGCTCTCAATCTTTGCTTTGACCATTCACGTGTCACTTTTTTTTAAATATATCACTTCAACTTGTTCGCTCAAGCGTATTACGGCGATGCGTTTATTCAAGGCCACATCATCAAAACCAATAATCTTGACAAAACAAAGGAATGGAACGAAACTCTGACTTTGAAATTAAGCCCACACTAATCAAATTAATTATGGCTCCAGGATCATGGTATCTTGTAATGAATCTGTACCGCCACATAAGTGCTAGAACATCCATAGACGCGCTATTATGAAATCTGCTACATAGCGCTTCGGATAGTTGTTAATACCAAAATACTGATGATACCCATGCTTCAACAGAGTTCCCAGATGAGACCACAGAACTATATTTGAGATGCAAGAATAGTCCCGCAAATTCAATTAGATTTCAAGTATTAGCTTCGAATATCATTTAAGACTAAAGAATAACCCCTCATATTCAATCAGAGGGCCAATGAACTTAATGCAGCAAATTGTTATAGAGCTTTTCTATTAATGGCTAAACAATGAAAGTGCAACAATCAAAATATAGAAAACTAGGCTGTGATTCTTTCATTTTATTGAAGCTCCCACTCAAAAGAAAGTCGTATTTACGCCTTTGAACTAGTAATACTACGCAGAATAATATATCCTCGATACCCAGAGGTTCTTGGTCATATCTAAGTTGCGGGCGATGACGATATTCCGCATGGGTATCATGTAAAAAACCTATAAAACGTCAAAAAACCTATAAGGTATCACCTCACAAACTAGGTAGTTTTTAGGGCTCAAACAGTTATTCCACGTTTGCTCACTAGGATCGTTGTGTACGTCCATCTATGAAGGAATGACGCAACTAAACTACACGCATTGTTGGTTGCATATGTTTTGCGTAACCGAGTGGTCTGTAGTTTTCATCTCTGAGAAGAAAGTTGGTTGAATAGCAAGATGACATCTGGATGATTATGTGTGTTGGTCTGCATGTGTTTAAAATCAGTGATATTTGCTGTGTGAGGAAATCATTACTGAATATGCTGCCCATTGGCAGCATATCTATTGGCTGTGCCCGATGGGTTATTTTTATGTTGGGCTTTCTGAACAGAGGTTATGTTCAAAGTTATAAATTACGAAAAACTGAGGAGAATTACGGGAAATCACCGCGCCCGCCTTGTGAGTGATTACTGTAAGCATGTATATGCTTGTAATTCGACACTGTAAAGTGAATATAATTATTTCTTATCTCTCTCATTTTTGAAATTCAACAAATTTGTATACGTAATTTCCAGAATGGATAAGAAAAAGGGGAAGCGCAACTAATTTCTAGCTTTGAATCTCAATTAAGTGTATTTGAGACAAGAACCCAATGTAATTATCATCAACACATACAAACTTAAAGCTTAGACCTCCAGTAATGCCATCTTAGAAGCAGATTTTACATCACATCAGAGCCAACGATTGATAACATCCCCCATGACGTTTAGGCAACACGTACAACTAAGTGCTAAGTTATTATCTTGTAGAAAAACCTACATAATGTCAAAAAAAAAAACAGCATAATGTCAAAAAAAGTCGGCATAATGTCACTTTTCAAGATACGTGATACCCGTGCCGATCACTGACATGAAAATGAAATGTTGTGTGCATGATAGAAGCGCGCTGATGATTTAGTGACATGTGAGGTTATGTTACACTGTGTGGTTATCTTTTTGTATCACTCACAAAGGCACTGGTATGGAATATGCTGCCGATTTAAGGGAATCTGCAGTATTATTTTATAATCTAAATCATTTAACGTTGAGTAGAGTAACAACCGCATTGCTGAGATATATGAATAAATAAATGGACACGTCAATTTTCAGGTTACAGGTTTAAATAATGTTTGATTTGTCCTGACTGTTCGTGTCATTATTTTTTTTTATTACTAGGTATGTCGTTAATATTTTTTATCCGTTCAGCCTTACGTGAACATTCGTCTATTAGCGTATAGCAAACACTTTAAAATGAGAATATTAACAACTTTGCCTGCCCCCAATGGGAATTCACGTCAATGCCCAATTATCGTCATTGACCGTTACATCTATGGGCAATGTGCTATGTTATGTCACCCTGTATAGTGTGATCAACTGGTTGAGGCGCGATCGTCAGGTAACTTAAAAATCGATAGTGCTCGTTATGGCGATACCAATAAAAAATTATCCAATACAGCAGCCGTATACCATATGGGAAAAATCTGGGTGTGTGACAGCACCAACATGGGAGCAGTATTGTGTAGCGGGGCTCACACTGTGTGTGTGTAACGAAACTATGCCTTAAATCCGGATTAACTCGAACGACGATGGCGATATCACAGAACAATGGTCATGTGGAAGCAGCGCACGCTGGGATCTGGCATCTGTGTTCGGTATGCGTTTGATGCATTTGCGCACCATATGCCTGAACAATTTGTTATTATATATTATTACACAATAAGATTCAAAAACCTACTGTTTGAAATGAGAGTCTTCATATCAAATATTTTTTAAGCAAAAGTAATATAAAGCTTTCAGCAGAGCCGTAAAAGGTCAATAAATATGACCGCGGTATATTCAAAAATTTTTGAGTGGCGGGCCAATATTTTGCCCCTAAAAAATGGACAACTATCTGTTTTGAATCGTTTATATATAGTTTTATATTTTCAACTAGTAAGTGAAAAGATGACAGGTTTTATGGTTATTTTTAAACTCATCATATGATGAATTTCAAGAAATAGTGTAGAAAACGTTGTTTACCCATTACAGAGCTTTTGGGACTTTTTGTAAAGCACTCTGTACATAAAAAAAGAAAAATAAAGCTTTAAGAACAGGTTTAAAATATTTGAGGCTACCATCTATGAGTTCCGAAACCCAAGCACAATGTTTATCACACATATCGATATTTAATCGCAAAGCAGGCAAAAGGATGAAGACCATACTGTTTTTAGGTCGGGTCAGAAAGAAATATTGAAAGGAATACCTTTATGTCCACAAAACCTGCATCTGGACTTTTCCAGTTTTTCTGGGATAATTCACATAGTTTTATATTTTCAACTTGTAGAGTGGGGAAATACAGCTTCTACGCCTCTTTTAGACCACTCAAATAGGTATGTTTTGAAAAATTATGTA